TTTCAATTCAGTTTATATCAAAGCCTTGAATAAAGAGCACCAGCTCTGATAATATTTAACTCCGGCAACCGCCGTTAAAGATCTTATTATTTCACACTGACTGAGTCTCTCGGCCAGCAGGTAAAGAAGGGCAGTCACCCTTCCACCCTATTCTTCCTAATTTATCGACGGATGACAACAGCCAACCGGCTACCTTCACGGAGACGGCTGCGAGGGAACCTCTACGAAGTAAAATACTAATTTACATATTTGAGAAAGAAAATATGACTAAGGGTAAAATCGCAGTTTTATTGTATATTATATTGTGCACTAATGTATGTACGTATCACCACATCAATTTATTTATGAAACCCAAGTGCATTTGGCGCTCAACAAGGCCGTATGTACGTTAACATGCATGTATAGTCAAAAGTTTCTACATATGTACGGAATTTTTGCGCGCCAAATACACATTTCCTCATGTTCATCTTAAGAAAAAAGTGTATTTGGCGCGCAAAAATGCCGTATGAATACAGCATATACAAATGAACAATGTATAGTCAAAAGTTTCTACATACTGAATTTTTGCGCGCCGAAATATGTACAAGGGGGTTCCATAAATACATTAATGCGCGTAAAACTCTGCATACATTTATGCATGCCGTGTGTTTTAAAAATGTATACACACAATTAAGCCCATATTTTTAAATAATTTGACTTAATTTAAAAAATCTTCAACAAACTTAGGGGGTTCATCCAAGCAGTTACACGGAGTAAGAGGCCATGAAAGCTAAGAAAACTAAAACTAATATGGAACTTTCTAAGGAAAATTCAAAATCGTTTTTCGGTTCCCTGAGTTCAGCCCAGGTATTTACATTAATGACAAAATTTAATAACTCAATATATAATATAATAATGTGTGTTTATTTAAATATTTGCAGATCAATCAGAAAGTGTGCCACTACATCGTGGGGGAGATTTTACCAAAATCTCACGTTGAGCATTACACAAATTTAACAGCTTAACATAAATATAAACGCATTAAATAAAGTTCTGCCCAGCTCTGCGCCAGTTGAAATATTTTTTAGTTGTGAACCCCAATACGAAACAAGCTCGTCCCCCAGCTTTTTCGAAAAATTAGTTATGTTAAAAAATGAAAACATTTAAATTTTGATTGTTATATGAAAATGAAAAGATAATGTTATTTTTAAGAGGACTAAAACCTGAAACCTAGTCTTATTTTAAGTTGAATTGATTTGCCAATGTAATAAATCAAACAAACAAATAAATAAAACAAAAAAATCATAAAAATTAAAAAAAAACAATATTTGTATCATTTACATTTACCTAGGTACTGGGAAAATGAAGTACCTTTACCGTACCAAGGTATTTATTTTTGCCAAAGAGCTTTTACCTTACCTAGGTAAAAACAAGAGAGAACGCTATAGTCGGGTGCCCCGACTATCAGATACCCGTTACTCAGGTAAAGGGAGTGCGAGGGAGATGGAGATATAAACTTTGATCACGCATAACTTTTTAACGAATGGTCCGATTTGAAAAATTTCTTCAACATTTCGATAGGTATTGATAAACACAATAAAACTGCATTTTTACTTTTCCGAAATATTTAAATTTTTAAAATCGTATATAAGCGATTGTGGGCGTTAAAGGGGGCGTGGCACCTTTTTGAAACAAACTTGCGCTGCGTAGGAACTCCTAGAATCTGCATGCAAAATGCCAATCTTCTAGCTTTTATAGTTTCCGAGATCTCAGCGTTCATACGGACGGACAGACGGACAGACAGACAGACGGACAGACGGACATGGCTATATCGACTCGGCTAGTGACCCTGATCAAGAATATATATACTTTATAGGGTCGGAAACGCTTCCTTCTAGCTGTTACATACTTTTGCATGAATACAATATACCCTTTTACTCTACGAGTAACGGGTATAAAAACAGTACCTTTCCCAACACTGGTTATACGTAGCCTGTTCGCGAGTGGGAAAGCCGTCATCATTATTTATTTTTGCACCGGATAACAAAAAAAACAAGAGAGAACGCTATAGTCGAGTGCCCCGACTATCAGATACCCGTTACTCAGGTAAAGGGAGTGCGAGGGAGATGGAGATAGAAACTTTGATCACGCATAACTTTTTAACGAATGGTCCGATTTGAAAAATTTCTTTTACATTTCGATAGGTATTGATAAACACAATAAAACTGCATTTTTACTTTTCCGAAATATTTAAATTTTTAAAATCGTATATAAGCGATTGTGGGCGTTAAAGGGGGCGTGGCACCATTTTAAACAAACTTGCGCTGCGTAGGAACTTCTAAAATCTACATGCAAAATGCCAATCGTCTAGCTTTTATAGTTTCCGAGATTTCGGCGTTCATACGGACAGACAGACAGACAGACAGACAGACGGACATGGCTATATCGACTCGGCTAGTGATCCTGATCAAGAAAATATATACTTTATAGGGTCGGAAACGCTTCCTTCTAGCTGTTACATACTTTTGCACGAATACAATATACCCTTTTACTCTACGAGTAACGGGTATAAAAATATTGTTTATCACATCGCTCTCCACTGATTTCGAGTCATATAAATTTTTTTTGAAATTTGAATTACCAGTGTTTTATTATTACTCCGGGGATATATGAAGTCGTGAAATTGGGGCGAGACAAAGTTCGCCGGGTGCTCTAGAATACATATATTTTTTAGGGAAGTATGGTTGTTTCATTGTTTGATTCTAATAAGTTTAATTTTTCCTAATAATGTAATTCTTCAGTTTCCCGTTATATTTTATTATACATTGCTTATGTCAATAACTGCTCCTATCTTTCTTAGTAAAGAAAGTATTAAGAAATACTCTGGAGCCTGACGAAAAGCCTCTACCAAAATTTACCCGCAACTATTTTTTAAATTTTCGTAGTGATTTTCACTGTTAAAAAGAAGAACTGAGTTGGACCGAAAAAACATCGCCTAACTATCGCATAAAAAGTCCGTCAAATTTGGATGGGGAACTAACTGGGAATTTTCGGAACGGCAAAACCTTATGGACCATCCGTTCAACGAAATTAAGTTAAGGCCGCCAGTTTTCAAAAATAATAATAAACGTTTAAATTATACATCTTATCATTGCCGAGGTTACAAGCCGTACAGAGTTGCCAGGTAAGGATACATATACGAATGTAAATGCATTAGTATTGAGTTCTTAAAAAAAACTCCTTTGCCGTGAGGTTTGATTCCACGTCAAATAAGACTCCACCTCCCCGTCTGGAGGGACAGTCAAACTTATACATATGTATATTGTCTATTTACCTGGAATAACTTGTAGTTTTTAGTATAGACAGTATAGATTATTTTCGAAAACTGGCGGCCTTAACTTTATAAAATATACGGACCTTCTTTTTTTCTATGGAAAAAGTCACTGACTGGCCTAAGCTTAGTAAAACTTTCTGGCATAAATCTTGAATACCTGTGTACCGTGCATATTGGTAACATCTCTGTATAATAAAACATTCACATTCCACCATTTCAAATTCATTTTGTACCAATTCAGCTGCTTAAAAGACATTTGGTTGAATTTGAATAAAAAAGGAAATAATGGATCAGTTGACAAGCAGTTAAAATCCAAAAATCTTATTTGCGGGAAAGAGCCCTTAAACGATATTCTCAACCTTGTCAAAACAAGTCTTAAATTTAACAGATGATTGCTTTGCAAAACCTCAAAAGATTACATTTTTTAAGCCTAGTACTCAACTCAGATCGACGAAAACTGTCAGTCATGAGAGAGAGCGAGAGGCGAACAGCGGGCGTACACTTTTCGCAAGCTTTTTTCACCTCGGTATTCAGATCGACGAAAAAAATACCTGAAAATTACATCGCGTTGCTCACCACCTGAAATGAACTTCTGGTAAAGCCTAGCGACAAAATTGAATCTTATGTCGTGCGTTTCTCACTGAAAATTTTAAAAAATTAATCTTTTCGCTAGGGCCTTGAGAACGTACCTTTTATTATTTTCGTCGATCTGAGTACCTCGCTCTCTCTCTTATCTGACGAACAGATTTTGTCGATCTGAATACTAGGCTTTACCAAGCACTAGATTCCTATGTTAAAGCTATAGCCTAGTATCCAGATCGACGAAAACCGTACGCAAGTCATGAGAGAGAGCGAGAGGCAAACAGCTGGCGTTCACTTTTCGTCGGGCCTTTTTTTCACGTCGGTCTCCTGATCGACGAAACAAATACCAGAAAATTCCATAGCGTTGCCAGTCTGCGGAAATGAACTTTGGCTGAACCCTAGCGAAAAGATTAAAAAATTTAATCTTTTGGCGTGCGCTTCTCACTGAACATTATAAGAAATGGAGGGAAAAACTCAAAAAACTCACAAAAGTCGATTGCAGGTGTTTACATGTGAGGACAAAATAACATTAACACTATCTGGGGTGCATCTTGTCAGAGCAAAATGTTTTTTAGGTCCAGAATTTACGAAAAAACACAATAAAAGTGCAGCTATGAACTTTAAATTAGCAAATAATTATCAGTAAATTAAAAAAAAACAACTGTTAAATTTAAATTGTATTTTAATTTCTTTGTACAGCGGCAGACTTGTCTTGCCAAGGTATTTGATAATATCTTTTAAAGGCTCTTTCCCGCAAATACGATATTTGAATTTTAACTGCTTGTCAACAAACCCAGCTGATTGACAGTACGACCGTAGCACGCTTAAATCTGATGAACTCTCAAACTTTTGGTCACACTGGAAAGATTAAAGTTTTTACGCTAGCGTAATCGTTTGTCGATCTGGATACTAGGCTTATACAAAAAAAGTAACTTAACTACCACCCTGCCTTAGAAATATTACAATTTCGAAAATTTTGTGCGTGCTTCTCTAATACATACCTTAATTTTTGAGCGACTGTCTGAAAAGGGTATTAAGACTGTGCTCGAGTACCCCTAGTCGATATAGCGCCGCCAGCCCTTAAAAAAGTATGTCGGCTTTTTAATGTTTTGGGCATTAAGCGATGAGCGGTCACATAGTTTGGTGTTTTACTATATTGTTTGCTTTATGCAAAAATATTCACAATCTATTTTAAATAAATAAAGTGAAATTTGTTGACCGAACGCTTTCCAAACTGTGACTTGATACTTTGTGATCTGTGAGTAGCGCAAGCAGCGTGGTGCACCGAGGTAGCCAAAATTAATTAATATGTACATATGTGCAAAAGCATTGTAAGAGGGGAGAGATCGGAATTTCAATAGTTCAAGAGTAATACTTACCCATAGGTATATACATATATAGTCATATTTTAAGCTTAGGAGCTCTGATTGAATTAATATATGTTTTCAAGCTAAAAGGTTCAAGTTTAGTTCTGAATGCAGCTCAAGAAAAAATTAAATAAAAAACAAGGGAAATTATTTTGAAAGGGGGAATGTATAAAAACTGCTGTGCTGGCCTAATGGACTGCCTGTTTTCAAATTATGTTGCAAATAAAGTTTGTAGAACCAGGCGGTTAATATAAACCAGAAAGAAAGTACTTCGCCAATTTTAAGTACCATCGCAGAATATTTGTCAATAACAAAAATTACAAAAAAAAAAACACTCGAGCATGCATCGAAACCACCTATTGACGCTACGATAAACAATTGGTTTTATAATACAAAAAAATAATTAAAATTTTTAAAATTAAGTTTACGATTGTTTTTCAATTTTTATACCCTTGCATAGGGTATTATAATTTTAGTCAAAAGTTTGCAACGCAGTGAAGGAGAGATTTCCGACCGTATAAAGTATATATATTCTTGATCAGCATCACCAGGAGAGTAGATCTAGATATGTCCGTCTGTCCGTCCGTCCGTTTCTACGCAAACTAGTCCCTCAGTTTTAAAGCTATCTGCTTGAAACTCTCCCAAAAGTTGTATTTCTATTGCAGGTAGTATATAAGTCGGAACGAGCCGGATCGGGCGACTATATCATATAGTTACCATATAACTGAACGTTCGGAAAAGCCATAACTTTGGTGTTTGTAAAGTTAGGAAGTTGGGATTTTCTATGGGTTTTATTTTTGGGCAATCAATCCGACCTACCAAATTTCATAAATATCGGCCGACTATATCTTATAGCTGACATATAACTGAAAGATTGGAAATGTCATAACTTTTGTGTTTTTAAAGTTAGGAAGCTGGGACTTTTTATGAGTACTAAGAATGCATCATATGAATAATTTTGGAGAATATAATTTACAGAGTATTCTGCAAGGGTATATCAACTTCGGCTCCGCCCGAAGTTAGCTTTCCTTTCTTGTTTTTTATACGTCCGATTAACAAATGGGAAAAGTGCCCTAAAACAGACAGTTGTTGCTTCGGAAAATAAAAGACAAATCAATGTATTTTAAACTTAGGTTTAGGAATAATGTTTTAATTCATAGAAATTGATCCCACTAAGTTTCTAGTATTCTCTGATTTACTAAAGGTTGTGTGGTGCGCTCTGATGTATCGCTCCGACAAGTGTTCTGTTGGAAGAAATTGCAATTGTTTTTTGACGTTTCATAAAAGCCAATGATTGACATTATGGTCAGTATGTTTTTAATTATACATTTATTGAAGTTATAAGTCCCTTTCCAGTCCCAACCGTTGTCCAATGTTTCATAATAAATCCTACTGTCAGATTCTCTACGCCGTTGGCTGCCATACACTCCCAGTCATTAAAAGGCCCTGCTCCACGTTTAAGTGTACACATATAATTTTGCTTTTCCAAAGCTGTTGCTCTTCAGTCAAACCTTTTTTTTGCAAAAGTACAGAATTGGATCATCCGAAGAAATGATTTGCTTTAAAGAGTTTCAAAATTGACTTATTACTGAAATCCAGATTTTTTCAAATTAGTTTTGGAACTTCATGGTTTTCTCCGGCCCCAAGGTTTTTGCATTTACCTATTATTTTTATTACCTTTCGTACACTCAGAGTCATATCTTCAGGCCCGATGAGAGGGGTGGGCAGTCGGGACATTTCCCAAGGCCCCGTAATTTCTGATTTTTTAAGAACATCAACTATAAAATTTCATGTCCCTGGACCCGGTGTGGCTCTCGACGGCCCAGCATATCTTAGGTTTCGCATATCGTTTTAAAAATACGTATTATATAAATTACCAATAAATGCAATAATTTCCCCATGTACGCACACTTAAGAAAGGTTTTCGGGGAAAGTATGCGTACAAAAAAAGAAATCAAAAAGGACGGTATTAAAAGCGTTTAAATTGCAGTTTTGGCATTGATAACTGTAAATCAAAGTTTGTTTACTTGTTTGTAATCAAATCTCGCATATTTATGTTGTAATCAGACAATATTTTTATGATGGCGAAAAATATAATGAAATTGACCTTGATTTGAGGAAAGTCATAGTAAAACTAAGTGATGAAGGGAAAACTGTTCGGGAACACTGCTCTGTACAAAGAGTCCTTGAACATTTCAATTTATCGGGTTCCTGTGGGTCAAAACCCCGCTCTGGTAGACCACCAAACTTTCTGAGCGTGGGAGTAGAAGCGTTTTGAAGACAATAAAAATAAATCCAAGCACAACATCTTCCCAAATGGCAAAGGATATTACGGACAAGTATAATAACGATCATCATGCAAAAAAAAAGTTCGCAAAATTTTGAAGAATGAAGACTATAACAGCCGTACTGCCCGGAAGAACGACGTTTGGTTCCAACAGGACAACGACCCAAAGCATTGTGCCATGAATACGAAGCCTTGGGTGCTCTATAATGTTAAATTCGCCACCTCAGTCCCCAGATCTCAATCCCATTGATCATTTGTGGGAGCTCCAGGAGCGCAGGATCCGCCAGCTAGGAATGGAATAAAATATCGGTGGAGGACACAACGAAATTGGTCCAGTCAATGCCAAATAGGTAGGCTGAATTCCTAAAACGAAAAGGGTAACTGACTTCGTATAAAATTAAAGTCCTTTTGCCAAAAATATGGAGTTTCCTTTTGATTTTTGTCTTTGTACGCATACTTACTTTTTCTGATGCAAAATCAGGCCATTTTGTACATTTTTGTTAATATTAGGAAAATTATAAAGTGTTAGAAGGGTTAAGATACATCAAACGAAAGGTGAATAAATGTACTATCTGTTAAAATAAAAATTATTAATTTGTAAGATTTTTTCAACATGTTTTTTAACTCTAAAGTTGTGGGACATGTTTGTAACGACTCCGCTTATAATGTCCGTCCGGTTATTGCGACGGAAACTCGATGGCTTGGTTGGTCGCCAAACAAACTTATATGATACAAACTTATAACCGGATTCTACTGTACTTAAAAACTATGGAATTACGGCTTTAATTAAATTCAAATCGGACATCTATATCATATACCTCACAAAGGAAATCCAAAAATAAAAAAAAAAATTTTAGGAACAAAAAAAAAATTAGAAACAAAGCTTATCCTCTTTATTTTATTTTATTTTTCTGAGATATTGTAATTTTTTACCTCATTACAATTACGCTTTTAGTTTTGTCAAAATAGGACAACAATATCATATAAAACAAGAAAGGAAATATAACTTCGGGCGGAGCCTATGTTTATATACCCTTCCAGAATACTCTGTAAGTTATGGTATCTCCAATCGTTCAGTTATATGGAAGCTATAGGATATAGTCGGCCGATCCTTGAAAGAAAATCCCAACTTCCTAACTTTACAAACACAAAAGTTGTGGTATTTCCGATCAATCAGTTATATGGCGGCTATAGGATATAGTCAGCCGATCCCAGCCGTTCCTACTTATATACTGCGAGCAAAGGATCGAAGGGTGCGTGCAAAGTTTCAATTCGATATCTTTAAAACTGAGAGACTAGTTCGCGTAGAAACAGACATGCTTATACCAACTCAGGACGCAATCCTGATCAAGAATATATATACTTTATAGCATCGGAGATGTTTCGTTTACTTCGTTGCACACTTTTGACCAAAATTATAATACCCTCTGCAAGGGTATAACAAGAAAGGAAAGCTAACTTCGGGCGGAGCCGAAGTTGACATACCCTTGCAGAATATTCTGTAAATTTTATTCTCCATAATTATTCATATGATACATTCTTAATACTCATACAAAATCCCAACTTCCTAACTTTAAAAACACCAAAGTTGTGGCATTTCTGATCGTTCAGTTATATGGCAGCTATAGGGTATAGTCGACCGGTCCCGGCCGTTCCGACTTATATACTGCGGGCAATGAATGAAGGGTGTGTGCAAAGTTTTAATTCGATATCTTTAAAACTGAGAGACTAGTTCGCGTAAAAACAGACAGACGGACAGACGGACATGGTTATATCAACTTAGGACGCGATCCTGATAAAGAATATATATATTTCAAAGGGTCGGAGATGTCTCCTTCACTGCGTTGCACACTTTTGACCAAAAATTTTAATACCCTCTGCAAGGGTATAATAAAAACGATATAACGGCAAAATCGACAAAGCTTCATTGTTTTTAGTAATATAGGCATAGAAATCGAAATGTAGTCTTTTTGTAATAACTGCAAGCGTATATAAACTTCGGCTTGCGAAGTGTTCTTTCTTTCTTATTTCGACATGAATTAGATAAACTATACTTTGTCGATGTGGTGCTCGATGTGCATAGTGTGAGGCAGTTGGTCGCCTTTTTTTAGGCAATTTAGGAACACTATGCTTTCTAATTTCTTTCTGTGAATAAAACAAGAAACACAATTGGAAATTACTCGCATTACCTTATCCTCGAGGGTGCGCAATATATAACTTCTGTCTTAATTGGTGTCCTGTCTTCATGAGTATTTATGATTTCTTCCCGTTCCATCAGCTTTGGGACCTTAGTAATTTTTAATTTTTATACCCTTGCAGAGGGTATTATAATTTTGGTCAGAAGTTTGTAACGCAGTGAAGGAGACGTTTGCGACCCCATAAAGTATATATATTCTTGATCAGGATCAATAGGGGAGTCGATATAGCCATGTCCGTCTGTCCGTCCGTCCGTCTGTCCGTCTGTTTCAATACCGTTTGCGAGCTCAGTTTAAAAGCTAGCGATCTAAAACTTTCACACTCGACCTAAAACATGTGTACGCAGATCAAGTTTGAAAATCGGCCCGATCGGATGTCTATATCCTATAGCTCCCATAGGAACAATCGGATATATCTTGCAAGAATTGATGATATTTCG